ACGCACACACACACACACACACAAATAAATAAATAAAAATAAATAAATAAATAAAAAGGGGCCAAGATGTATTTCAGTGCGGAGGCCCTGGGCTGAAGCCCCAGCACTGGGGGATGTATACGTGTGTATCTATAGAAACATGGAGCTTGGTACCACCCACCATCCTGGTATTCGGAGGCAGCTGCTGTTGCACCAAAGCTTGCTTCGCTAAGGGCTGGGTACCACCTGCACACTTTCATGAAAGGTTTCTCCTAGAACTGCACAGCGTGGGTGACCTGAGACAGTTCACAAGACTGTCTGCCGTGAGGCAGGTACATTTCTGAGTACTCAGGGCAAAGACACAGGGTCTTCCTGTGTTTGTTCTTTAACACTGCATCAGGTTGAAGCATGGAGGAAATCGTGTGAATTTCAAAGTAGTAAAGGAGGACCAGAAAGGTTAAGTGTCTTTCATAGAGGCACAGTAAGTCTTTGGAAAGATATTTAGGGTCCCAAGTGACAGTTAATTTTCTTGGTAGACTAGGAAAGTGTACATTTCCCTGGAATTCTTATAAGCCATGAATCCTTTCCCCATTTATGTACCTCTTAAGCCTTTCTATTTTTCAAGGTCACAAATATGTGGAAAGCCCTTTTTGAGACACTGGCCAAATAGTATGGCTGTTGAGCATGATAACTTCTATGTTCTGTGGCCATTGTGAGCTCTGTGGACTCACCAAGGGTGCAGGGCACCTTATAGGGAAGAGGTGGAGATAGGGCATCTCCTTGTGCAGGATTCTGAACTGTGTATCTGCCTCACACCCAGTGTAGCAGCCCAGGGAGCAGATGAAGTAGATTTCTTCTTACTTGAGGTAGACTCAGCCTGTGTCAATTCAAGCAGCTGGAGGGCAGGAGGAGACTTCTGCCCTTCTCTCGACCTTCTGGAGATGCTGGATTATCAGCCCATGGTAGCATCCAGTAAGGGGCGAGATACAAGCACATGCCTCCCCCATCAGAGTGGCCTCCTGACTGCCACTTGCTGAGAATGGGTGACAGAATGCAGCTTTGTCTTGTGGATATTCTTATTTAGCACTAAGATTCATAGTAAATATCTTGTCTCTGTATCTTACCGTAGTTAATAATAAGCCATTCTTTTTTTCTGCCCCAATCCCCAGTTAGGTGGTTATTTACTTTTTTCAGATCAAGTACTGCCTCAAAAATTCAAGAGTACTCTCTCCAGAAAAATGCACATACTTGAAAATTTTTGCATATAATTTGAAGAGGTTTGGCACTGTGAAAAGCTTATCCATAGGCTATGGTTTCGGATAGATATTCCTGGCTGTAGATTTTGCTATGTCACTGTGCTTAATAATTAAGTCCAGGGAAATATTGTGATGTTTTAACCTGTTGGTAGGCTTCACAGAGCATGTGTTTAATATTATTCCACCTTGATGAAAAACAAATACAATGTTTTAAATCAAAACATATGCACGGTGTTTCTGGATATTTTTATCAAAGCTCCTCCCCCCCCCCTTTTACAGGTGTCTAACATTTATTTTTCCCCTCTCATTTAAAGCTTGGCAAAATGCGGCTGACAATTCCATGCCGGGCCCTCACGTGTTCTCATCTGCAGTGTTTCGATGCAACTCTGTATATTCAGATGAATGAGAAAAAGCCAACCTGGGTGTGTCCTGTCTGCGATAAGAAGGCTCCCTATGAACACCTTATTATAGATGGGTATGTCACCTTATATGCATCTTTTTTTAAAATCAGATTTGTAATAAATTCTACTGGTAATGTTTTCTAAGTGAAATATAAATTTGGAGACTTCTCAAGATTGTAAAAAAGCAGTACTTTTTATTCAGTTATTTTTATTTTCAGTGCTACTTTAAGATTTTAATCTTTAGTTTGTCCAGGTTTTTATTTCTTTTTTTTTGGTGGAACCAGGGATTGAACTCAGGCCCTTGTGCTTGCCAGGGAAGCACTTATTCCACTGAGCCATCTCCCTGGCTCCTATATTTCTTTTTGTCAGTATACATTTGCAGTACTTAATTATTATATTCATGAAGAGAAGATATTGGGGCTGGGAAGATAGCTCGGAGGGCAAGCGCAGTGTCCTGAGTTTGATCCCCAGTACCAATGAAAGAGATACTATATGTTCATAGCATATCTTAATTCTTTTTTAGAAATCAGTATTTTCAAAGTGAGTATTTCATGCTATACATATTTTTCATTTTTAACTTGACTCTCCTTGTTTTGAAAATGCATGCCTTACTTTCAGTACCTCCTGACACCATTTAACACATTCACAATAAGGCTGTAGTTCACAGCTCCCGCCAGGTGGCTGTGTGTGGCTGTCCCACTTCTGCCACCAGTGGGGCAGTCGTGTGTGCCACCTGCGGTGTAAGCTGGCAGCAGTGTGCTGAAGAGCAGCATCTGTAAGTGGTGTCAGTACAGCCTTTCCTCCTGTGCATTCATGTATCTTTGCACATGCAGACCATTTTGGAGCATGTGTTAGAACTGAAGAATTCTGATTAATTTGTGCTTATCCAAAATGGAACTTTTGTGAGCTAACTAAACCTTTCCTTTCTTAAAAAAAAAAAAAGAAAGAAAGAAAGAAAGAAAGAAAAGAAACTTTTGAGCCAGCGAGATAGCTCAGCGGATTAGGGCTTCTGCCTAGGCAGGTTTAGGGAAGCACAGAGACTGCGGTTCCATTCCAGGCACCACAGGCTGCGCCAGCCCTGCCCCGAGGGCAGGCCGAGCTGGCCACCAAAAAAAGTGAACTTTTTAGTGGCCAGTTTCTGCCGATGAGATTGTGCTTCAGCTGTGGGCCAGCCTACCTTGTCTCCCCTAGAAGGGCTTCTGAAGCCCATTAGCACACTGAATAGCAGCTTTCTTTGTTTTTTTTTTTTTTTTTTTTTTTTTTTTTTTTCTATTTATAGTTTCTTTTTCTTTCATATTTTTTCTTTCTGTTTTGTCTGCCTGCTACATCATAGTAATCAGTTACACTAGTTGTGATGGCACATGCCTGTTATTCAGGAAGCTGCTGCAGGAAGATGGTAAATTCCACACCAGCTGGGCAACTTCGCAAAAAACCCTGTAAGGCCAGGGTTGTAGCTCAGTGGCAGGGTGCCCTGGGTGCTTTCTCTAGTACTGCAGCAAGCAGATAAAAGTAAAGAATTAGTTGCCTTTCTTTAACACTCCTGAATCCCACCTGGGCAGTTTAGCACAACTGTCATAAAATTAAAATTAAATAAAAATAAATTTAAAAATTAAAAGCTGGAGGGGCTGGTGAGATGGCTCAGTGATCTAAAGCACCTGTTTGAACAAGCTTAGCAAAGCAAAGCTGAGCTGGTGTGTGTGGCCAGCTCAGCCCACCAGGGGGCGGGGCTGGCTGGCATGTGGTGCTGGGGATTGAACAGCGGTCCCTGTGCTTTGCCAAGCTTGTTCCAAGTAGGTGCTTTAGACCACTGAGCCCTCTCTCCAGCCCCCACACCTACTCTTTTAAAGAAAAAAATAACCCAGGAAATAACCTCTAATGGTGTATAGTTTTCTGATTTTCATTTTATGTAATTAGTATGTTAATAGTGTTATGGTTAATTGTTTACTAATGTAGGATAATTTCTATACATTGATTTTGTTTAATATTATCTCTTAAGAATTTGACCATAGGCCTGGAGTGCTGGCACAGGCCTATAATCCTCGCACTCAGGAGGCTGAGCTCGGAGGATCACAGAGTCCAAGGCCAGCCTGTACTACATAGTGGGACCCTGTCTCAAAAAGACAAACGGGGGGAGGGGATTTGACCAGAATTATTTATATACATTTTTTGTAAATATCTTTAATATCTGAATAACTTTATCAAGGATACTTATATTTCTTTACATATGTGATATGTATTATTTTAACCTATCAAATAAGATGTGTATTTTAGATAATTTACAAAACAAATTAGAAAAATGCAAAAAAGAAAAGAAAAATACATGTAAAGTCACCAACCAAAAGATAGCTGCCATTTGTATACTGGTCACATAGACTCTTTTCTCGTTTTCTTCTCTTGCTTTTTTTTTTTTTTTTTTTTCTTTTGTTTTTGGTACCAGGTCTCAAACTCATGACCTTGTACTTACCAGGCAGGCACTGAGCTGCTGAGCTCCATCCCCAGCCCTGGAATATCATTTCTGAAGTTTAGTTCTGTCTTTGCTCAGTCTCCACATTTTTGTGAACATTTGTCCGTGTTTTAGAAATCTGTAGTAGCACCCGCCCTCACGGTAGGTGTTTCCGTCATGTGTGCTGCTGCCTTCTTATTCGGCACTCGGACTTGAGAGCAGACATAGCTGCCCCATGCTGCTGTTTTCCTCGTTTTTATTTGTAAAAAACACACAAGGTCTGAACGTTTGAAAAGTAGTGTTGCTAAATTATCTTCACTTAAAATGCGACATTCTAAGGACAGACTGTTTTTTGTAGCTTGTTTATGGAAATCCTAAAGTACTGCACAGACTGTGATGAAATACAGTTCAAGGAGGACGGCTCCTGGGCGCCGATGCGATCGAAAAAGGAAGTGCAGGAAGTTTCTGCCTCCTACAACGGAGTTGATGGTGAGAGTGAAGGCGTTTGTAAAGCAGTGCTAGTAAATTTTAACAGATTCAGTACAGAGTAGCTAAGGCTGCTTATTCAGGTGTGTGTGTTTGTGTGTGTAAACATATACATATATAATATATGTAATAGATATAGATATAAAACGTGTATGTATGACGGCATTGGGGACTTACAATGTTTTGGCTGGAAGGTGGGTGAGTTTTTAAAGTGTATTTCCTCAGTATGTCAGATACTATACAGATAAAGATATTCAGTCCAGTAGACATAAAACATACATTTTGATTGTCTTAATTTAAAATTGTTCTCCAAAATAATCCTTTAACAACCAGTAGTATATAGTAGTTTTACATGTAGTAGAGCAGAGCAGCTGTAGGTTTCCTGCTCTCTGGACCCAGCAGTATCTTGAGTCTGCACCGATAGGTGGAGGGGACATGGAGCTAAAGTGTACTTTATTCACCTTGTGTTTTCTTCTTTCCTGTGCAGGGTGCTTGAGTTCCACTTTGGAGCATCAGGTGGCTTCTCACAACCAGTCCTCCAATAAAAACAAGAAGGTCGAGGTGATTGACTTGACTGTGGACAGCTCGTCTGACGAGGAGGAAGAAGAGCCATCTGCCAAGAGAAGCTGCCCTTCCCTCTCTCCTACCTCTCCGCTGAACAATAAAGGGTGAGTGCTGACACCCCACAAAAGCTGGTAAATAAGTATTAAACATCTGACACAAAATGATGTTTGAATGTACAAGTTAGGTTGGATTTTTCCCAAGTGCATGATATTCTTGAAAGCCTGGGGTAATGCATTAATGTTAAAAGGGCCTCTTAGATATAATATTGGCCATGCAAAAAGATGGCCAATTCTAGTCCACACAGTGGTTTTCAATCTGTGGTGTACATCAGAGTCACTGAGAGCTTATCAGAGTACATGTTTCTCCTCTGTGTCCCAAGCCAGGAATAGAGAAACAGAAAATTTGGAGTTCTTGTGAGTTCCCAGGTGATTTTTATGCTGTGTGTAGGATTTAGAACACCTGCTGAAAACTAGAAACTATTAACCCCAAGCCCAGCATTTCTACTGGAAAGCCGAGGAAAACCAGATAATTCAAACTGGCCCCCAGGGTGTGTATAAGGTTGACAAGGAAGGAAGTCAGGGATAACTTGGTCATATAAATTCTCTATTTTTCAGACTTATTTGCCATATTTTCCATTAGTCTCATGTAAGTAATATAGTACCTTGGTCACCTTCAGTCCAGTTCATAAAAATGCTGTTAAAAACTTTGTGTGCAATACCCTGCAATAATATTCTGGATGTGCTGGCACATTCCTGCGATGCCAGGTGTTCAGGAGGCTAAGGTGGAAGAATCCCAGGTTCAAGGCCAGCCCTGGTAACATAGTGAGATCTCGTGTCAAGAAAAGAAATGAAAAGAAAAGCTTTGGCTGGGTGTGGATCTGATACAATGAGTAAGCGCAGTCCTAGCTTTAAAGTGTGTAATACATGGTAGGGGGTGGTAAAGCACGAAGCAGAACTCGAGTTATGGCCGAGGAGAAAGCTCAGTAGAATAAGCGCTTGCCTGGCAAGCACAAGGGCCTGAGTTCAATCCCCAGTTTCCCCCCACCCCCCCAAAAAAACCAAACCAAACCTCTAGTTATTCTCCTAAAGAGACTGTTAACCCACAAACATACCAGCATTTCTCAGCAAAAAGATTTTATGTTTTGCAAATGCATAATTGTAGCACACTAATAGTGAATCTGGAAATAAATATGCTGCTTTGGCTGAGTGTGGTGGTACACACCTGTTATCTGAGCACTCTGGATGCTGAGGCAGGAGGATTGAGAGACTGAAGGCCAGGCTGGGCTACAGAACAGAACCCAGTTTCTGAAAACCAAAGAAGAATGTGTATCAGAAGAATCATGTGGCCTTTTGCCCTAAATGGGAGCTATTCAAAAAACAGTAGCTGGGAAAGGATAAAGGAGAGAGAAAGTCTCTAGGCAGCATTGTTAAAGTTTGAGTTTTCAAGGTTCAAGAGTGCAAGTTGACACCAGACCAAAAGCAAGTATTTCTGTATTTGGAGACCAGTCATTTTAGGTTGGTATTGCATGGTGAGCCAGGAAGTCTGTGCTCGGACACCCTAAACAGTGTGTTACCTTCATTGCCGAGTAGCTCGTCTCAGAACACAGCCAGCCAGCTAGGTAGGAAACATTCAGAGCAGTGTCATTCTAAATACAGTGACAATTAGTAACCTGCTCTGTGACCATTTCTCAGGAAAGCCTGCTTTGATGGCTGTTACTCAAAAGGATTGCTTTTATTTTTATGCCCAGAGCTGGACCAAAAAAAAAGTCACATTACCTGAAAGTGGCATAGTTAGAACAAGTATCTGTACAATTTTAGTTCTGAGATTTTTTTTTTCAGTGCTGAAGATAGAACATTAGGGCTTTGTGAGCATTCTACCACTGAGCAGTATCCCCAGCCTGAAGGTATTTATAAATAATACTCCATAGTATGACCAATACGTAGTTGACCATCTGTGTCCGTGTGCTCTGTATCAGTGGTTCAACCAACCTCAGACTGAACATTTTCAGGAAGAAAAGGTAGCTGCACTAAACTTGCATGAACTATCCCTGCTGTCATTTCCTATGCAGCGCAGTATAACAGCTCTTTACATAGCACGTACACAGTATTAGGTGTTACAAGGGATGGGAACATGATTTGCTATATGAGAAGATGTGTTTAGGCTATTTACAAATACCATCACATTTCATGGAAGGAATTTAAACATCCTTGGGTTTTGTTATGTGTGAATGGGGGACATTCTAAAAGTAGTTTCTGCAAAGTTTTGTTAATGCCATAATTGTAACATTAAAATATTTCATAAAACTAGGTATTAAATAGGTATTAAATGCATCATTATGCATTTAAATCTTTAGAATATTAATAGTCATTTGTATACATGTAAGCTATGAAATAGATTTTTCTGTCTTCCTATATTTTATCCTTGAAAAATTTTGAAGTATTTTAAAATCTATCTTTTTTGAGTATTTACTTTTCTGATTCTCCAAAAATAGCTGTGTTTATTATGTTTGGAAAATTACATTAGATACATTAGCTACTTCCTGAATTGCCTAGAGATTAATTGAATCCAGACATAGCATTGCAGATGTCAGACTTTCCTCTGTTTTCAGATAAAAACAAGAGACCTGAAAGTTTACAGCATCTTTAGAAGGAGCCTAGTGCTGTGCTCAGCACGAGCGGCCGCTGTACAGTGATGAGTATTCGTCCCGCAGCTGGAACCTAAGCACGGCACATTGTCAGTGACTGTGCAGTGTAGAAGCGGAAGTGCAGTTTAAAACAGTGTGACAAGCCTGAGAGCAGGGCAGCCATCTAGCTATTAGGAGGAGGCAAACATCACTACAGTGTAAAACCTCTTATTATCTTTAATGACTGAATTTTTACAGAAATTTCCCATACTGTGTGGTATGCTGAGATGTTTTCAAGACTGGCATTTCAGTAGCTTTCTTCTCTTATATAATCCCTCAGGCATTGACAGAGGACAGAGCTAATGGAACATGGTGCTTTTTATAGATGTAAAAGGTTTAAGTTTCCATGATGGAACTCTTTTATGAGACATGTAAGAGTGTTTATGTTTTATGTCTCATTCATAAAGATAAGATAGATTGTCATGACTAGAACTCTGTTCCTCACAATTCAACCTTGGCATCTTTTAAAGTGTTCTCTATCGTTGAAATTATATTCCTATACCCCAAGTATTTTACGTGAATTGTTAAAAGATAGTTACTTTATTTCTTTGTTTCTCTTGTTTTTTTACAGCTTCTGTAACTGGTAGTCCCTTGTATGGTTTGCCTAACATATAACCCTTGTCTGCTTGCAGACACCCCTCCCTTCCTCCCTCTCTCCTCTCCCTTACCCTCCTCCCTCTTCTCCTTTCCTCTCCCTCCCTCCCTTCCTCTCTCTTCAGACTGGCCCTGAACTCATTATGTAGCCCAGGCTAGCCTTGGATTTGCAGGGATCTGAATGCTACGACTGTAGGAGTATACCACCACACCCTGTTGAACCCGTATTTCTTAATTTTAGGTTAAAAAAAGAAAGAAAGAAAAGCAAAAAGTTGTATTTTTCAGCCATTTAAATATTTCACTTTGTTTTCCTAAAGTCCATCATTTTTTTCTTCTTTCTTTTTCCAGTTAAACTACTTCTCTCTTTATAACTCTGCACCTGGGGCCGGGGAGATGGCTCAGTAGAAGAAGCACTTGCCTGGCAAGCACAAGGGCCTAAGTTCAAACCCTGGTTCTGCCAAATAAATAAATAAATAAAACTCTGCACCTGTGTATTTGGAGGCATTTTTTTGTGCTGTCTTGAGGCCTTTGCTGGATTGATAGGGCCTCTGTGGACAGAGCGTGCTAATGACTGTGCAAGGTACTGGGTGCTCCAGGATTAAGTACCCAGTGTTTATTCTTCTCGGGCTTGTGGGTGCTGGATTCCATCACATCCACCCCTGCCCCTGCAGCCTCTGCAGAATTCTGTTTAGTATATACATTATTTCTCTTCCTCCTTCTCCCTCACCTCCCTCCATTATTTCTTCCTATTTCTCCTCTTTCTCTTTATTTTTTAATTCTTCCAAGACTAGGTCTCTGTGTAGTTCAGGCTGGCCTTGAACTCACTATGTAGTCCAAGCCAACCCAAAATGTTCAGTAATCCTGCCTCACTGTCCCAAGTGTTGAGATTACAGGTGTGGTCCACCATTGCCTGTCATACAAATCATTTATTTTTCTTTTCTTTCTTTCTTTCTTTCTTTTTTTTTGGTATTTTTTTTAGGGAAGGATCTAGAGGGTGTTCAGGGTCTCGCTACTAGATTGGACTCGTAGTGATCTGCCTGTTTACAGCCTCCCAAAAGTTGGGACTACAGCCACTGTGCCCAGTCTCAGTTGCTGTCTCCGCATGCCCTGTGGGCGGGGCCGGCATGGTACAGCAGGCCTGGGGATCAAACCCTAGCCCCTGCAAATCATTTCTTAATAATTGTGGGTAGTCTAAATGTTACTATGCTCATTGTTTTGTTTTGTTTTGATTTCCAGCATAAAAGCCAGAGAGGCAACCCCTTTTTTAGATTTAAAAGTTAAACTGACATATGTAAATTTCTCTTACAGCATTTTAAGTCTTCCACACCAAGCATCTCCAGTGTCCCGCACCCCAAGCCTTCCTGCTGTAGACACGAGCTACATCAATACCTCCCTCATCCAAGACTACAGGCACCCTTTCCACATGACACCCATGCCTTACGACTTGCAAGGTGAGTCGCAGTTCTCTATACTGTCATGTAGCATTGTGGAAGCTTATGATCTCTTCAGTCTGATAGGGCAGCCCTTGGACCAAGGAATTGGGAGAAATACTATTTTGGTCATAAAAACTGACCCAGCTCTTTGATTATACCTTCATTGATAGCCAGTGTTTACTGCCAGTTGTAAAACTAATGCAGTGGTCTCACAAGTTTTGTGAACCTTGAAGTACTTCCACTCCCCCCGCCCCCCTTTTTGAGATAAGGTCTTGCTGTGTAGTTCAGGCTGGCCCTAAGCTCACTTTGTTTTTTAAATATTTATTTATTTGTTTATTTAGTGTGTGTATGGCCAGCTCAGCCCACCATGGGGCGGGCCTGGCTGGCATGTGGTGCTGGGGATTGAACCGCGGTCCCTGTGTTTTGCTTAGCTTAGCTTGTTCTAAGTAGGTGCTTTAGACCAC